GACCCACTGGGAGTCCTGTTGGGTCAGCGACAGTGAAATAAACCTGGCATTATTTAAAAAAAAAAAAATCGCCACAGAGAATAAAACCAAAGATACCAACACCACCCTCATGCCCCTGCCTTTTCCCTGTCCCCCTGCCCAGCACCTGGCGGGTGGGGGGTGGGAACCGAGCCTGGGAGGGAGAAACTGGAGGGGCGGGGCGGGGCGGCCTGGGAGGGCGGGGCCTTAGGGGGCGGGGCCTGAGAGGGATACACTAGAGGGGCGGGGCCTAGGAGGGCGGGGCCTGGGAGGGAACGACTGGGGGGCGGGGCCTGGGAGGGAGCGACTGGAGGGGCGGGGCGGGGCCTGGGAGGGAGAAACTGGAGGGGCGGGGGCGACGACAGCCGGAGGGACGGGGACCGGAGGCGGGGAGTTTGCTCACGTCATCCAGCAGCGGAGGGAGGCGCGGCCCCAGCTCCACGCTCAGGAGCCGCACAGGCGCCCGTGGCCGCAGCAGGAGCCTCCTCAGGGCGCCCAGCGCTGCACCCACGAGCCGCGAGTCGCCTTCGCCCAGTGCGCCCAGGAGTGCCGGCAGCAGTGTGCTCACGTGCCGCACCTGCTGGGACTCGAGTTCAGCCTCCTGCAGACCTCGCCGCGACCCGGTCAGGACTCTCTCTACCCCTCCCCTTCTCTCACCTTCCTGCGATTCAGCGCGAGGTGGCCCAGGCCCAGCAGGCCCAACCAGCGCACGGTGGGCTCGGGGTCTCCCTGCCAGGTGAGGAGTCGCTCCAGGATGACCTCCTCCCGCAGGAGCCGTGCGGTGGGCCTGCTCTGCAGCAGCTAGGCGAGGCACACGGGGTCAGCACGCCCGCGGTCCCCGTGCAGGCCGCTGCGACTCAGGGATCAAGTCCAGGGTCACCCTTCACCACCCATCCGGGAAGCAGGCTCACCCCGGTGAAGAAGGCCATAGCCGTGAGGCGCTGCAGGTCGTCTGCGCTGCGCAGCCGCGGAAGCAAGTCTGCGAAGAGGCCTCGCAGGTGGTGGTCGGCATGTGCCACCATAGCACTGGGGTGGGTGGAAATGGGAGCTCTCGCTCCGTTTGGCGGCCTTACTCCTCGAGAAGACGCCATCCCAACACCACCCTCATGCCCCTGCCTTTTCCCTGTCCCCCTGCCCAGCACCTGGCCAGCAACGAGTCTCTTCCTGGTTTGACTTCCTGGGACCCCTCCTCACCTGGCCAGCAGCAGGACACCCTCCAGGTGGGTGTGGGCTCCCACCAGCCTCCTCCAGCCTCCTGCCTGCTCCATGCATGTGACCACCATGCGGCCTCCATCCCCGGTGAGTAGGGCCTTTAACGCCTCCACGGCACAGCTGATGGTGGGGACAGTGAGCAGGCGGGCAGTGGGGGCTGAGAGGGTGACAGCATGCTGGCCCACCCCACGTACCCTGGTGTTGCCTCTCACCTGGCATGGCTGTGTGGTGGCCCTCGGTGGGACAGAACCCAAATCTTGGGCATGTCGGGGGAGCGGGGGCTGCAGGCCAGCTTGTGCAGCTGTGTGACCAGCGCAAGCAGCAGATGTGGGTAGAAGCCCCTCGTGGCTCCCACACAGCCTGAAACAGCCAGCATCTCCCCCAGAGCCCGCGTGGCCTACGGAGCAAGTGGCCCACTTAGGCCTGGGGCGCGCCCAGAGTTTCACTGGGCAGCAGAGGGACAGGCGTGCCGTCAACAGGACAGGGACTAAGCCTCAGACATGCGTGGGACATTCCAGGAGCAGTTACCTAGGTGCAAACTCCCTTGTCCACCTTTTCCCCTCCGCTCCTCCCCCCTCCCGCTCCCCTCCCCCCTTCGCCCGCTGTCCCCTCCCTCCTCCACTGCCGGACCCGTGGTAATGGCTGGAGCCACCTACCGCCAGCGCCTGGGGTTCAGGCCCCAAAGCACCCTTCAGCGCCCACAGCAGTTGCACCAGCACCTGCCCATTTACACGCTGGTTACGGCTTAGGCTGTGCCAGAGCTCGGCTGCTGCCCTGAGGGTTTGGAGGGGGCTGGTGTGAGACAAGGAATGGGTGCAGGGGTGGGTGTCCAGGGGATGTAGGGAGTCCACAGCCAGGGTGAAGGCAGCCAGTAGGACTCCAGCAGGGGAGGGGCAGGAAACAACCACCCCCATCTCTCCCCATCCCCAAATCCCAGAGAAACAAATGAAGTGTCAATTGTGCAGACCACAGCATAGCCTGTCTCAAACTGAGCTGCAGGGTGGGGACCCACTGGGAGTCCTGTTGGGTCAGCGACAGTGAAATAAACCTGGCATTATTTAAAAAAAAAAAAATCGCCACAGAGAATAAAACCAAAGATAACTTCTGGGGCAAATTAACCAAAGAGCCAGGATGTCCAGGCACATTAGCCCCCCAGCCTCATTCACCCCACTCCAGAGCCAACCCCAGGATGGTCTCCAGGGGAGACCACCCGAAGATAGAAGGTGGCTCCAAAAGAGGAGCCCAGCATCAGAAACTCTGTGACAGGAGTGCAGGGGTCGGGGGGGAGTTTGCAGAGCTAAAAGTGAGGGGAGCGGGAATGGATACGGGGCATGAGTCATCACGGGGCTGGAATAAGGAGGCCCCCTTTCAGCTCCCTCTTCTGGGGCCAGACTCCACCGCCAAGCGGGAAGGGGGAAGGAAGCCGCGTGGGGACCGCAGGGCCAGGACCAGGATGGTTGGGTTACCGATTGGGGGGCAGAGAGCGGGGTAGCAGCGCACACACCACGTCCCGCGCATGCTCCAGGGCCAGCGCGCTCAGCACTCGCAGGGCCGCCCTCCGGGGCCTCCCCTCCGCCAGGCTGGGCACCTGCGCCAGCAGTCCACGCACCAGAGCATGCACCTGGTGGGGAGGAGTGCAGACTTCAGCAGTCAGGCCTCCTCCACCGTCCATTCCCCTCTGGCCTGCACCCCACCTCCACCCCCACCCTGATCCCACCTGGCAGGAGCAGCCTGAAGGTGGCGGGATCAGGCTGCGCTCTCCAGGCCCCTCCCACCACCTTGGTTCGCGAACCGGCAGGAGTCTGTAGAGCATGGAGTGGGTGGAGGCTGACCTGGTCCTCCAACCGCTCCCCTCGGGCCTCCAGGGCTGAGGACAGGGTGAGCGCTGTCGCCTGCGTCCCTGCAAAGCCAGCCTCCTCCAGGCAGGCAGCCGTGTACAATGCGAGGTCGGCAAGAACTGCCTCCTCCCAGGAATTCTGGGGAACCTAGGGCAGGAGGGTGGGGCGTCTGAAGTGCCCAAACCTCTCCTAGCTCTCCTCCTGGTCTCTCAGCCTCCCACCTGGCTTCCTACAAAATCCCTTGCTCCTCTGTTGCTCGCCAGCCTGTTTCACCTCCCCCAGGTCCAGCACCGCTCCCGCCCCCCGCTGCTGCCTTCCACCTAGCATCCACAGGACCCCCCAACTGGTTCCCACAACATCCCTTCCCTCACCCCTCACCTGGTGAGGCCCCTCAGGGGCTGGTTCCAGGGCACTGTTGGGGGAGCAGGGCTCGCTGCCAGCTTCAGGGACGGTGGCCTCACGTCCAGGCTCAGCCTCAGAGGGGGCAGTGAGTGCCTGGGTCTGTGGCTCAGCTTCAGGTTTGAGCTCCCAGAACCTGGGCTGAGGGCCTGTGGAAGGGGGTCCCTGGGGCTGCCCCTGCCTGGCTCGAATTCCTTCAGTCAGTGCTGTCAGGGTTAGAGCCCCCATGGGAGCCTCCCGGGCCCGGCCCCACACACCCCCAGCCATGGCGGCCCTTGCCTGCAGCACCTGTCACTGCTCCTCCTGGGAAGTTGTGCCCAGGACTGACCTAGAAGCTGGCCCAGGCGGGACCACAGGCGGGACCACAGGCGGGACCACAGGCGGGACCACGGATGGGCGTGGTGGCGCGTGTGCGAGCGTGAGCTTGTGGGGGCTGGGGAGCCACACGGAGGTGCCTACAATGGGCCTTTGAGGGGCCCCCCTGCCTGGGCTGCTGGAGGGGAGTGGCCACCTGGAGCCTGAGTGCCTGTGGTGTGACTGTACCCACCAGGGCCCTGGGAACAGGATCCCCAAAAGCTGGCAGATCCACAAAGAAAGGGGGAGAAGGGCCCTCACCCTGACTACCAGCTCCTGTTGACCAGGGGGCTCAGGGCAGTTGTGGACAACCCTGAGGAGGTCCTCGAATGGTCCAGAAGTCTGCGCCCCACCGTGAGTGGAGGCCTGATTGAGCCCCCAAATGGCAGTCGCTCCCCACTGGGCCTGGGGCTAGAGGCTAGCTCCGCCCCCTGCACGCTGGCTCTGTCAGACACCCTGGAACAGGCATGACTGGGTGAGCTTGGGGCAGTCCGGAGGGGTGGAGCGGGCAGCGAAGATGCCAGGGGAGCGGCGGCCCCTCCAGAGCTTGTGCAGGTCCTCTGGGTCCTGGGTCCTTGGCTAAATCTCACTTTGAAATGTAATCCCCGGTGCTGGAGGTGGGGCCTGGTGGGAGGTGACTGGATCCTGGGGGCGACTTCCCCCTTCGGTGCTGTCCCCATGATAGAGTTCTCAGGATCTGGTTTTTTGAAAGCGTGTGGCACCGCCCCACCCCTTCCTCCGGCTCCAGCCATGTAAGACCTGCCGCTTCCCCTTCCGCCAAGATGGTAAGTTTCTTGAAGCCTCCCCAGCCATGCTTCCTGTACCTGCGAAACCACGGGCCAATTAAACCTCTCTTCCTTAGAAATTACCCCAGTCTCAGCTATTTCTTTACAGCAGTGCAAGAACGGAATACAGCCACCCTGGCTGGGCCCCTCGGAGTGCGCGGGTGCCCTGTGGGCCTGGGGTGTGGTGTGTTCTGTCCAGTGATTGTGAGTCTGTATCTCTGTCCTAGCTGGTACTCCCCGGGGCTGGCTGGACCGGACCTCTGCTCTGAGTCCCCACCCTCCACCCTCAGCCAACCACACAGTGGATGCTGCCCATCCTGAGCCCCGGGGAGCCAGATGAGCTGGTCTGGTGGAATGCCTGGCAGACGGAAGTGCCCCTGACGCACCCCAGGCGGTTAGCATTCCCCCTACGCCCTTGCCTTTCTGTGCCACCTCAGGCTGCTTGGACAAGAGAGGCCCAGGCCCCCAGCCTCCACTTCCTGCCAAGCCTATAACCCCTCTCCCAAGCAGTTCCTCTGAAGCTCGTGTTGCCCAAACTGGTGGAACCCTGAGATCGGGAACTTGCTGGCACAGAGGCAGGGCCAGCCCAGCACACAGCCACATGCAGTGCCACTCCGGTCAGGTGTCTGGGGCTAAGTCAGCTCCTGGAGCTTCAACTTCTTCCCCCTTCTTCCTCTCCTTCCGTGGGCTGCTGGGTCAGGAGCTATGTCCCTGAGGTCAGATGCCAGGGGGGTGCCGGGTTGGCAGCAGCAGTGGCAGGAGACACCTGAGCTCTCCCTTTTGGCATGGGGAGTTTGAGATGTTCTCACTTACCCTGAGCCTGGGGGACGGTGCCTAGGCAGGTGTGGAAGCCCAGGGCCACGGCTGGACCCTCTTACTTGGCACTGACCCCCATCCTGTCCCGCCCCCAGCCTGCCTCTAGCAAGGAAAGGTCTTCTGCAGCAACTCCCTCAACTTCAAGGCAGACACCAAACCCCTCCCTGCCTGTGCGCTCGCAGCTCTACTGTGGGATCTGACTCCCCACAGCCCACCCCAAGTCGCGGAACTCCTCACTGCCCTTCAGGCTTCAGTACAGGGCTGTCTCCCAAGCCGGCAGGGCCTGTGCTTTCACTGGGATGCAAACCCTCCTGCTCCCTCCAGCGAAGCTCAGATTCCCGACTCCAGCCCAGCCCCAGCCCGGGAGGCCCTGGGGCCAGGTGAGTGTGGGCTGGGTGAACAAATGACACAAACAACACAGGACAAGCTGTGGGGAGAAGTGAGCGATTCGTGTTGTTTCCAGGCAGCCCCGCTCCGAGTCTTAGGGGGACGCCCCTGCACACAGACTGTCCACTGGGGCCTGCAGCTGGCAGTCTCAGGGGGACGCCCCTGCACGCAGACTGTCCACTGGGGCCTGCAGCTGGCAGTCTCAGGGGGACGCCCTTGCACGCAGACTGTTCACCAGGGCCTGCAGCCTCTCAGACAGCACCACCTGCAGGGAGCAGAGAAGGAGAGCGGTGGGCATGGTAAGGGCAGGGGCACACAGGGCAGAATGACAGGGCAGGCCTCCCTCCAACCTGGTACTGTGCAGGGCTCTGCAGCCGCCTGTGCTCAGGGCTGAGTTGGCTCAGGGACAGCTGGACCAAGGCTCTAGACTCTGCCAGGGATGGGAGCGGCTCACATAGCTGCAGGGAAGAGGCAAGGAAAGAGATGCTTGGGGCTGGCTCCTGGTCAGGGCTCTACTGGGGCTGGAGGGCAGGTGAGGGCGGTGGGGTAGCCACCTGTCCTTGCTGGAGGCAGAGCCGCAGTAGTGGCTCCACCTGGGCTGGCCTCACGGTGCAGGGCTCCTGGGCCCCTGGAGGCCACACCCTCAGCTCCTGCCCAGCCTGTGGCGCTGGCTCCTCTGCTAACTGCAGCACGTCCATAAGTAGAGACCCTGTGTGGGTGGGGACAAGAATAAGGGGGGGGCCTGGTGTTTTGAAGGTAGACAGCGGGGGCATGGGAGGGTCTCACCGTCAGAGCCCAGGAGCCGGAAAGCAGCCTTGCTCCCAGGTAACGTCTGCTTCTCGGGGTCTTCGGTCAGCTTCATTCGTGGCTGGCCCCCCACGGCCACCAGCTGCAGGGAGAAGGCGTTGAGCTGGCTGGTCCTCATGCCCCACCCAGCACCATCCCTCAGACCTGCCCCCACCTGGGCCCCCAACACTGTTCCCACCTTATAGACGCAGCCCAGGGAAGGCTGTTGGGGGCAGGTGACCACACTGGTGCCAATGCCAATGACATTCACCTCACTGCCCTGGGTGGGGGAAAGGAGGTGGCAGTGAGCCCAGCCAGTGCCAATGCCAATGACATTCACCTCACTGCCCTGGGTAGGGGAAAGGAGGTGGCAGTGAGCCCAGCCAGAACCTGCAGGGGCCCCCAGGAACCCCCCAGCCACCCTCTGCCTACCCCCTCATCCACCCCACCTCCTGGGCCAGTCGGGCCAGCGCCTCCTCATCAATGTTGTTGCTGACTGCAATGGGGACTGACTCCAGCCAGGGCACCTGGAACCTGCCGCGTGGGTGGAGAAGGGGTGGGGGCCGCCCCTCAGGTCTTCCTGATTCACCCCAGTGTCCCCCCGCTCCCCTCCCACCTCAGTCAGGGACACCTACGCTCACCTGCTTGGGAGCTCCTAGGGAGCCCCACCCCTTACCTCCCTGCCACAGCCTGCAATATTACCTCTGAAACTACAGCCGAGTGCCTCACTGTCCTTCCCTGCCCCATTCCCAAATCCTGGCTCCCCAGGGGTCTCCCACCAGGAAACTCACTGGGCTGCAGCAGCTCGGAACACCTTGCGGATCTCCTGGGCCTGCTGTAGCAGGTCACCACTGTCCAGCCTCACACCCACTGCCCGGTAGCCCAGCTCTCCCAGGGCCAGGGCGACTGCTAGGAAGTTGGGGAGACCACTCCTGCAGGAATGGATAAGGGGGTCAGGGGCTGCCGAGGTTCTGCTGAGCCCACTCCTAAAGTGCCTGGGCTTACCTCCGCACGCTGTAGGAGTCCAGGAGGCCCTGGAAGGCCCGGGGAAAGGCCAAGGCATAGGCCACAAAGGCTGCCCGCTCACCTGGGTGTGGCTCCTGCACCCCCAGCCCCAGGTGGGCACACACGTGCTCCAGCCACACCTGGGCTTTGGCCGCCAGGTCCACCCCAGGGCCCTCACCAGCTGCCGGCGCCAACATCTGTGGAATGGGGTTGGTGAAGAATGGGGGCCAGGAATGCAGAATGAGGCCTGGGAGCAGCCAGGGACACCCTAGTTTGAGGGCAAAGGTAATGCAGCCTGTGCCAGCTTCCTGGGACAGCACTGGGGTGACCTGCCTGGGTGGCACACCTCTCCCCAGGGCAAGGGCTGGCTTGAGGTCTGTCGCCTGGAGACGGCAGGATTGAGAGGAGGGACTGACCGGGTCAGGGGGCACCTCACTGCCCGAAAAGGAAGTGACGAAGGAGTGGGCCAGGGTCCCCGCCACCGGCACACCTCGGAGCTGGCCCGCTAGCACGTTGCTGCTGCTGTCGAAGCCTGGGGAGGAAGGTGTGGGATTGGGGGACTTTGGGCCAGGACGGGGCTCCTCCTTCCCGGCCCTTGCCTTCCCCCGCACCAGACCCTCACCGCCCAGGTAGCTGTAGGTGGAGGCTGTCAGGCCCCCATCCGGGCCCTGAGCCCGCCTCAGGCCCATCTCTAGCAGCCGCTTCTCTGGCCCTGCGATCAAGCGAAGCCGCGCTGCATTGGTGGCCACCAGGCTGTAGGGAGACAAGAGTCACGGGGCCCAGGGTGAGGGTCACCAGGCCAACCAAGACAGCGGTTACCTGGGGCCTGGAACTTCCAACCCGGGAACTCCACCCTCACCCAACCCCTCCTTACACCCTACACAGTGGGGGTGGGAGGCCAGCCCTGGGACCCTGGGCAGCCAGCCCTGCTGCCACAGTCCAGCACGCAGCCCCAGCGCTGGAGGCCCATCCCAAACCCACGCTCCCTGCCAGCGGCCCGCAGCCCACCTGGCGTAGCTGACCAGGCAGAGCAGCGGTGTCTCCAGCAGCTGCACCACCAGCAGCGGCCCGGACACCTGCAGGAGCGGCACCTGTGGGGAGCGAAGTCAGCTCCGCGCCCGGCCCAGCACCCCGTGGCCACCGCCCCGCCCGGTCACCCCTACTCACGCCCGGGAAGGCGAGGCAGCCCTCGGGCAGGGCTCGCACCGTCACCTCGGAGCAGTCGAGGGACCGAAGGTGCTCGAAGAACGCAGGGTCTGTGTCTGGGGGCAGCACCGAGGCCAGGAACTGCACGTCTGGAAACGAGGTAACTGCGCTGACACCAGCGTGGGGATAGACCAGTCGTGGGACATCGGGGTTCCATTGCGGGGCAGGGACTTGCACCGGCCATGGGTGGGGGCGTCTGTCGGGCGTGGGGGTATCGTGGGGTGGGGGTTTCGGTCGGGCGTGGGGGGGAGCTCCCGGGGTGGGAGCTTCCCTCGGGCGTGAGGGGGTTCGTCGGGCGTGGGGGGCTCCCGGGGTGGGGGTTCGTCGCGCAGGCAGGGGGACTACCGGCGTCCCGCAGACGGAAGGCGCGCAGGAAGCGCACACAGTCGCGCAAGCCGGCGGCCAAGGCGAAGGCGCCGCCGAACGGGCAGCGGCGGAAGAAGAGCTCGAACTCGGCGGCGTCCCGCGCCCGGCCCGCGCGCCAATAGCCCAACGCCATGGTGGCCTGGTAGAGGTCGGTGAGCAGCGGCCGCGCCGCCGCGCGCCCCTCGGGGTCCTGTTCCGCCGCCATCCCGCTCCCGACGTCCGGACTCCGGCCCGGCCCGCCCCACCCCGGCCCCGTGACGCACCCCGGCCTATGGCGCACTCCCGGTGGGGCTTATCGTGCGGTGTGGGAGCGGCGCGGGACGCGCTGGAGGACGGGAAGGGTCTAACAGTCTCCGTGCGCTGAGAGGGGCTGAAACAGCTGAACCCGGGATGGGGTGGCAGATGTCACTCAACTCTTCTCGGACCCCCAACCCCACTCCAGGCCCAACGGCCTCTTTGGAGCGCAACCCCGTCCTTGTCACCGGAGGTGCCCCCAGTCGCCCGTGTCTCCGCCCCTTGGCCAGGCAATGAGGTGCAGCTCAGGACTTGCCAGGAGGTGGAAAGGGTGGAGGACAGACCAGCCAGACTCCACCCGCACCGACCCAGAAGACAACCGCTGGCCAGCAGCCAGCTTCTGCCCTGGGCCTGGGAAGGGAGGCCAGAGGCTGCCTTAGTTGGAGCTTGAGCAGCCAGGCTAGGACGAGGGAGCCCAGATGGACGCAAATGTCGTTTGGAAAGAGCTTGGCACCCAGGAAAGGGAGGCGTGGGGCAGGGGGGCACAGGCCCACTGTTGACTGGCACCAAAAGACCTTCTGTGGCTATGAAGGCCCAGTGTCCCTCAGTGGTGGCTTTTATGGGATCCTGTACTCCAAGCCCCACAGGAAACTTTCTAAACCTTTGAGGGCAAAGTCAGGGGCCACTATCCAGGGGGAATCCATTCCCCTGTGGCTTGGGGCCCTGAGGACACCGTCTGACCAGAAATAATCAAGTAATTACACCCCATCCTTTTTCACCCCAATGCAGACATGTGTGGTCCAGGGGAGGGAGCGTGGCCATGCATGCTGACCACATGGGGCTGCCAGGTTGTTGAGGCACAGCTCCACAGAGCCCAGGCAGCCACACTCCGGCCACCCCAGAACATCAGGGGAGGGGCACAGTCCCTGGAGCAAGGGGGCAGGGCTTCCAGGAATGAATGAGGTGAGGGGAGGGCTGTGACAGCACATGACAAAGGGCATGGCAGCAGGGCCGGGAGCCACTGGGACCTCTTTCCTGGACAATTCCAGGCTTGCACGCTTGCTCCCATGGGGACAGTGCCAACAGGAGGCAGAGTGGTAGGGTGGCGGGCTCTCCAGATAGTGAGCTAACAGTTTCTGTTTCTGGCTTTTTAAACTGCTATGAATTCGACTTGCTTTTGCAATGGAAAGGAGAAGACGGAGGGCCAGAGCTTTGGGAGGGAGTGGCCAGGAGATGGAGGGACAAGCAGAGGTCTGCTGGGGGCAAGGTCACATGGCCACAGAAGGTGCAGCAGCTGAGATGACTGTGTGGGAGCAGCAGGGCGGAGACGGGGCTGAGACAGGGAGGGAGACAGGCCGGGTACGAGCAGGAAATGACCAGGACAGGAACCAGAGAGCCGGTCTCAGTCTTTAATCGTGGCAGGGCCTCAGGCACGCGCGCGCACACACTCAGGCTTCAGATCTTGTTGAAAGCTGCGATATCGACACTCTGCACCTGAGGAGAAGTGGAGGGTGATGGTCAGGGCTGTTCCCCTACAGCCCACTCGGAGCCAGGAGCCTCCCCTGAGGGAGGGTTCACTCTGGGACTCGCTCCCCACTGCCCCAGTGCAGGGCATGGGCCAAGGCCCCCAGTCTCCTCTCCCCGGCCAGCCCACTCACGTGCTCCTCAAACTTGGTGATCTCCTCCTCCAGCAAGTCTGTCCCCACCTTGTCGTCCTCCACCACACACTGAATCTGTAGCTTCCGGATACCGTAGCCCACGGGCACCAGCTTGGAGGCCCCCCAGACCAGCCCGTCCAGCTGGATAGATCGCACACAGGCCTCCAGCTGGGCCATGTCCGTCTCATCGTCCCACTGTGGGGAAAGGGGAGGAAAAGCTGGGGTCAGCCACCCTCAGAACACCCAGGAAGTACCTGCATGCCCCCTACCCCCTACCCACTGTGTGTACAATTGTTTCCTTAAAGGGCCCTCAGAAAATCCAAATTCACACCTTCCTGTCTCCAAGTTTGTGTTTATCCCAAGACTTCTCAACTTGGCGTTAAAAGTCTCCCCAGAACCGAGAGAGCAGGGGAGGGAGGGTCACAGGCTGAGCCAGCTGGGCAGGCACCAGGGCAATGCCCGGCTCCCAGAAGCTCCACCCTGCCCACTCACAGGCTTGACATCCAGCAGGATGGAGGACTTGGCCACCAGTGCAGGCTTCTTGGCCTTCTTCTCCGCGTACTGCCGCAGCCGCTCCTCCCGCAGCTGTGCCGCCTCCTTGTCCTCCTCCTCATTGTCGCTGCCAAACAGGTCAATGTCATCATCCTCGTCATCCTCTGCTGGTGTGGCTGGCTTCTTGGCCGGGGGCTCCACTTGGCGCATGGGAGACACGTGCTGCCACAGGGGAGGGGATAGAAGGCATGGCTGAGACGCCCCAACCAGGGCCCAGAGCTGCCTGGCCACCTCCTAGGCCCTCCTCCCTCCCTCGACCGGAGCAAGGGCAGCCCCTGTGCACCCCTGCTGTGGTTCCCCACATGCAGGCCCCAGGAAAGACAAGAACTGCCTCTACCTGCCCAGGGGATTAGTGCAGGCCTAACTGTAAACCTTCCTGGGGACCTGAGGACTCCAGTATTCTGGCTGCCAGCTCATCACTGCTAGAGCCAGTGTACATGGAGACATGGAAGCCAGCAGGGCCACGTGGTCCCTGCAGTGTCAGGCGTGGGGAGAGCACTCACCTGGGTCTGCGGGGCCGTGGCCCGGTGGCCAGGCGAGCTCTTCTCCAGCACGTTCAGCCGGGCCTCCAGCTTGGAGATGGCCTGCTGCAGCTCCTGTACCACTGTGGGGGCAAGGGGAGCACGGTTAGATGGCAGGGGCCAGGGACAGCCCCTACCCACTGGCCCGGGGCCTCACCGCCACGCAGGCTCTGGTTCTCCACTTCCAGACTGGCGATCCGGACGACAAGCTCGCTGTGGTCTCCGCTGGGGCCGCTGGAGGCCCCGGGGCCTGAGGTCTGCAAGGCAGGAGGAGGGGAGGGCTCAGTGCCCAGCCTGCTCCTGGGGTCCCCTCAGAGGCTCCAGTCAGCTCCACCAGGTCCCCCTGCCATGCTCAGGACTGCGGGAACTCAGAGGAGGAAAACTCTGGCTCGGGACAGCAGGAGGTACCCCCTGCTGATGCCCAGCTCAAACATATGACCTCGGAGATGGTGGCCGCCAGACCACAGTGAAATTCTCAGCCAGGCAAAGTCCAGGACAGGAAGCTCTTGGTGCCCCAAACACGGAAGCTGTGGGGAGCTGGACCATGGCTGCTGCTGCCCGTCAGGATCCTGCTGAGCAGTCAGGCTCAGAGGCTGGGTGGGAGATGGTGAAGGACTCACAGAACTAGGGACAACCTGGGGCAGGCCTCAGGGGACCAGGCAGCACTGGAAATGGGAGGCGGGAGCAGCTGAGGGCCCAGTGGGGGCAGGAGGAAGGAGCCCACCTGTGTGGACAGCAGCCACCCAGAGCTTTGTCTCCATGGGCCTCATGCCTGCCATCTCACTCAGCAAGCCAGTCTCTAGGTGACCCAGGGCCCCAAGCCCACCTCATACTCCGCCATAGCTCAGACTGATGCCCTGGGGCCCAGACAGGCTCCTAGCCTCCTGGCCCTTAACAGCAGCCAGTCCTTATGCATCTACCTGCAGGCATGGGCCATTTAGCCTGCCCACCCACCAACACGATGGCTCTAAGGACAGCGTGTACCTGGCTGCATGGTGCTCTCAGCCAACCCCATCTTGGCAGCTCCCCGGGGCTCCCTCTCTGTGAGGAGGGGCCTGCAGCAGCTGGGCAGACAAACCTGCTCTTTGCAGCAGGTGCAGACACACTCAGGCCTTTGCCCACCGTGCAGCACCAGCCCTGGGGCCCTCCTGCCACAGTCCTTGGGACCACGCTGTGGGGAATGCTTGTTATGTATCTGGAGAGTATGGGAGCTAAGCCCACAGATCATGGACAATGCCAAGACTGTGGCCCAGGAGGCCCACCTGGCACAGGAGGAAATGGGCAGGGAAAGGCCAGGCTGGCAGGGGCGCGTGAATGGTGGTGGGGGTGCGGAAGGCACCGGCAGAAACTGACAAGCTCTGGGGCAGAAGCTGGAGCATGGGAGGGCCAGGCTGTGGGGCGTCAGGGGGCATGGAGAATCACAGCAGACCTCCTGAGGGGGTGGGGCTGGGTCCCGAGGAGGCCAGAATCCGTGAGTGGCAGGGCCAGGGCACCTGAGGCCTCATGCACCCCACATAGCAGGCCCAAGGACAAGCAAAAGGTCCCCTTTGGAAGAGGCACTAAGTCAGCACTGGCCCCGAGCTGCATGATGAGCAGTGGGGACTGTTTCACCACTGCCCTCCCTAGGCCACTAGGCCACAGCCCACAGCACTCAGGCCAGAGGGGCAGCCCCCTCCCTTGATGCTGACTCGGAGGGGACTAGGGACGCTAGGCATCAGAGTCCCTGAGCACAGCTTCAATGGGGCAGGTTCAGGTCACCCAGTGCAATCAGAGCGGGCCTCAGAGAGCCCCTCAGGGACTTAGGGGATGCCAAAGGCAAATACTTCAGAGCCAGACCCATGCCAGTAAACCCTGTGCCAGCACCACATTCCCAGAAACCCTGCAGTTCTGAAACCCCAGTGTCTGCTGAGCGCTCCCACCCCAAATCCAAGATGAGACTGGGCCCCTGCCATGGGCTGAATAATGTCCTTCCAAATCCACATGCTGGAGTCTTATCCCCCAGTATCTTAGAATGTGACCTTATTTGGAGACAAGGCCTTCACAGAGATAATTGTCACTGAGGAGCGGGGGGTAATCCAATCTGACTGGTGTCTAATAAGAAGACATCACAACACACACTCAGAGGGATGACTGTGTGAGGACGTGGAGAAGACTGTCTACATGCTGAGAGGCCTCAGGAGAAACCAGCCCTGCTGCCACCTCAATCATGGACTTCCAGCCTCTAGAGCTGTGAGAAAACACATGTGGTTTAAGTCACCTAGTCTATGGAACTTTGTTAGAGCAGCAAACCAGTCCCTAACTCCTAATAGTGTGAATACCTGCCTGTCCCAGAGACCATGACTTCGGGGTTGACCCTACACAGCCAGGGCTGAAGAGTTCCTGCAGCCCCAGGGCCAAGCCCCTGACCACTGCCTTCTGGGCACTGGAGGGCAGTATGCCTGACTTGGGTGCAAAAATCTGTGGTACCTTTATCTCGTGTCTGCCTAGCCTGGACCTGGTCAGGTGCCTGGGCAAGCTAGGGGTGCTGGGTTGGGATCTGGACAGAACGCAAGGCACGAAGAAGCACCCACCTGGCAGACAGGAGTGGCAGCCCTTCCTGGGCCCACCCACCCAGGGATGCCCAGCTTATGGCTCGGGAGCCAGCACACCCCTAGCTGGCTGTGACTGTGGCGGACAGAATCATGGCCCCCGCAAAGATGTCCACATACAAGTCCCCAGAGCCTGTAAATATAGTCTCCCATGGCAAAAGCGATTCTGCAGATGTGATATGATTAATTTAAGCGGATCTCAAGATGGAGAGAAGATGCTGGATCACCCAGGCGGGGACACTGTCATCACAAGGGCCCACACGAGGCAGCAGGAGCGAGGAAAGGGAGAGGCAGGCTGAGTGATGCGACAGCTGTTTAGGAGCCTCGGGCCAAGGACTGTGAGCAGCTTCCAGCAGCCAGAAGAGACAAGGAAGCGGACTGTCCCCATAGAGACACCGGAAGGACCACAGCCTCGATTTTGCCCCATAAGACGATCTCAGACTTCTGGCCTCTGGAACTGTAAGGTGAGGAACTTGTGCTGTTTTAAGCCACTGAAGTGTGACAGTGTTACAGCAACATCAAGTGGAAACCAACACAGATCTTGGCCCAGGAAGTGGGGTGCCGCTGGAATGCCTAACAATATGGAGGTGGCTTTGGAGTTGGGCAGTGGTGAGGCGGGAAGAACTCCGAGGAGCATGACACAAAAACCCTAGACTGGGCCGGGCACGGTGGCTCACGCCTGTAATCCCAGCACTCTGGAAGGCCGAGGCAGGCAGATCATAAGGTCAGGAATTCAAGACCAGCCTGGTCAACCTGGCGAAACCCCGTCTCTACTAAAAAAAAAAAAAAAAAAAAAAAAAAAAAAAAAAAGAAAAAAAAAAAATCAGCTGGGCTAGGTGACAAGCACCTGTAATCTCAGCTACTTGGAAGGTTGACGCAGGAGAATTGCTTGAACCCCAGAGGCGCAGACTGCAGTGAGCCAGGATCATGCCACTGCACTCCAAGCCTGGGCGACAGAGCAAGATTCTGTCCACAACCCACCCACCCCTGCCAAAAGAAAAACCCTAGCCTATCTTGAGCACACTGTTGACAGGATTCAGATGCTAAGCCCCTCAGTGAAAACTCAGAGAAGGTGAGGAACAGGGCACATCATCTTCTAGAACAACCTAAACCTAAACCGCCACGAACATGCTGTTGGTAGGAATAGGGATGTTAAAAAATGACAGTAGGGGGGACCATGGGCCACACAGGAGTGCGCCCTTCAAACCTCACGCGACCCGCGGGTTGGACTGTGACTGCCGGGGACTAGTGACACCCTATTGTTTCCTTCTTCTTTTTCCCATTTTTAAAGGGAATGCCTGTCCCACAATTGTATTTTGGGAACAGATAATTTGTTTTCCAGTTTCACTGGTCCACAGATGGAGAGGAATTTTGCTTCAGGATGGACCACGCAATCCCCCATGCCTGATTGGATGGGATTCTGGACTTTGGAGGGACACTGTGGGGGACCCAGGCTTCTGCAGATGTTGGTGGAGAGCAATGCACCTTACGAATGAGGCAATGAGAATCTCCGACAGCCACGTCCCAACCCCCAGAGCCTGCAAATCCACTAACTGACGTGGCAAAAAGAAGAATCAGCAAATATGATTAAACTCAGGATTCTGAGGTGGGGAACGTCCTGGACCTGGGATCCTGGCGGGCCCAAAGCAAACACAATAACCATGTAAGTGACAGAGGGAGGAAGGAGGCTCGGAGAGAGGCGTGAGATGAAAGTGGAGGCGGGGGTGACGAGGTTGCCTGCTGGCCACCTCGAAACAAGCAATGTGGGCATCCACTGGAATCTGGGAGAGGCAAAGGAACAGACTCCTCCTGAGCCTTGGGAAGGATGGCAACCTTGCTGACACTGGGGTCAGCCTCGTGAGACACATTTCAGACTTTTGGCCTGGAAACCCGGCATGACACATATGTACTGTTTCCAGCGTGAAGCTGTGGAAAGCCACAGCAGCAGCCACAGAAACACTGACCCCGTTCTCGGGGCCAGGACAGTATCCCATCCCAGGGAGAATGCAGCCCCAACTCCTTGGGAATACCAGGGCTGCCACCTCCCAGAGGACAACCCTTCCCCAACCAGCCTGTCAGGCTGCAGCCACTGCCTCCAACTCCTGATCTCAGCCCGGGGCCTGGAGGCCAAGCAGGGCTACAGGGCTCCTCTCTGGGTCTCCAACTCAAGATGGTGCCAACTCCAGGCTCGGAACGCCTCGCACCTTGCAGAACCACTACTTCTCTCCCCAGTGAGGCAAGATCTAAGAGGGAACGCAGGAAGCCCCGGCAGACACACAGTCCTGCCACGGGGAGCAAGCAGGGAAGCACAGGCCCTCACAGCAGGCGCCCACAGCACACCCTGCGAATGGCACCACTCAGCTCCCAGCCGGCCCCACAGGAACGGCCAGTGTGACCGCCAGCAGGCAGACAAGAGGTAAGCACAGGAGGGACGCGAGAGTAAGAACATTGTCCATGGCAGTCCGGGCCTGGAGGCCACAGAGCCACACGCCCCAGGAGCACAGCGCTGTGTACTCCGCCCTGACTCTGCTGTGAAGCCAAACCACCAGCAGCATCAGGAAAAATGAGACATGCTACTTGGCCGAGCAGGAGCCCGCGGGTCCGTGGGCCGCGGGTACTCACTCCGGCCAGGGATTTCTGGATGTTCTCTCTGGCTCTCGCAATGTCACGAAGGATCACGCTGGCGCCATTCTCCTGCAGACAGTGCAGAAAGAACCAGTCTTTTTTTTTTTTTTATTAAAAAAGAATTTAATTAAAAAACAAACCAAAAAATCCCATGAACCCTCACATAGAGACAGCAAGAAAGTATTGCACAGAACAAGAGCTCAGCGGGCCAGAAAAGTGGGAGGTGCCTGAGGCTGTGATGACAGGCACAGGCGCCCATGTCTGCGGGGAACGAGTGCCAGGCCTGGCCCCATGCCACCTGCACAGGCACCAGCAGGAGGGCCCTGAGCAGACCCAGCCCCGGGGGCCTGGCCAAGGCCGCCTGCCCCAAGACCCCACGCCCAGCACCCACAGCAGAGCCACTGGGCCAGGGTGCCTCTGCCCTCCTAACCTGGCTGAACCCTCCTCGTGTGCCCCAGCCACTCCTGTCGGGCAGCAGAGCCACCCAGCCACCCCACATGTAGCCCTCACCTGGCGGGAGGCACCGGCCACAGGCCCGTTCATCTGCTCGTAGAATCTCCTTTCTGCATCGTCATATTTGAACTTGTCAAACCAGATCTTCTCATGTACTAGGAAGTTTGTAGCCATTTTTCTGCTGGGAGGGGAAAGAGGCAAAGTCAACACGGCTGGGAAGTGGGGTCGAGACAGTCCTGGCCTCACCCTTCCCCACAGAGACCCCCATCAGAACAGCTCAGAAGCACCAGGGTACAGCAGGGCTGACACCCACTTCAAATACCAGTGGTTCTCCACAAAGCGACACCAAGCCCGTAAGCCCTCACCCCACATGGCGTCCCCAGGCCTGTCTTCCAGACGAGGGGTTCTCAAAGTGTGGTCCAAGAACCTCTGGGGGTCCCAAGGCCCTACCCTTTCACTCACATGAAGCTGGGTTTATGTCAAACAGCTGGAGTGCGGAGGCAGGTACAAGGGCCCAGCTGCCTCCCACTAAGCCAGACACCCAAGAGATTTGCAAAAATCTCAAGCAAGGCCATTCTGCTCACTGAATTTTTTGGTTATGGGAAAAGTATTTCTCATAAAAAAAAGTTAGTAATATGTAATGAGTTTCTTCTTCAACAAATAATTACACTTAGCATTTCTTTCTTTTTTTTTTTTGAGCGGGAGTCTCACTCTGTTGCCCAGGCTGGAATCAGTGGTGTGATCTCAGCTCACCGCAACCTCCGCCTCCTGGGTTCAAGCGATTTTCCTGCCTCAGCCTCCCGAGTAACTGGGACTACAAGTGTGCACCACTGTGCTTGGCTAATTTTTTGTATTTTTGGTAGAGAAGGGGTTTCACCATGTTGGCCAGGCTGGTCTTGAACTCCTGACCTCAGGTGATCCACCTGCCTCAGCCTCCCAAAGTGCTGGGATTACAGGCGTGAGCCACCGCGCCCGGCCCATTTCTCAGTTTTAATTGCTAATGTGGTAAAAATCAATAGGTACAATGAAAGCTGTTTGGGGTCCTGAGAGCAAGAAGGTCGAGAATGGGTGCCCTAGACAGGGACTATGGCCCCACAGGCAAACCCAGCCCGTGGTTTTACTGGCACACAGCCCCACCTCGTGCTCCTCCCACTGGCCGGCAGCAGACGAGCTGGGCAGACGACTCTGTGGCCGGCGCCCAGGCCCTCTGGTTCTTTATGGAGTTCGCTGCCTCCCACCCTGGACTGGCCAAGACCCTCCTACTGTCCAACCAAGTATATCAGAACTGGCCCCATCCCGCTCTGCCGCCAGGCTGTGTGGACTCCGGACCATCGCTGGACCTCGTCAAGTGTCGTCTCGGTAACAAAGGGCTGGAGTCTGTGAGCCTCCTCCGCGTCCCTCACCCGGGACACTCTCCTGGCGAGGAGGGACCAGGCCACCGTGAATACCAGGGCAGGTGGAAGGGCAGGAGGTTAGCACTCCCCCATGGGGTCCCGCCCTCAGGTGATCTTGTCAACCAGCAAATCCAGACCCCTGGGGGTCCAAGGTTGGCACCACTTCCTTGGGGGCTTAGGCAGCAGCTTGGGACACGCGGCAGGGACCTTCAGAGTCCTTCGCTGACTCAGCCCGCCCCACCACCAGGACGCCCTCACCAGCAGGCCAGCCTCGCCACTTCCATGCCCTCTGTATTCCCTTCCACGTCCAATCGCCTACCCACCTGCCTGGCCCCAGAGACCACTGCTGGGGTTGCACCTGCACCCTGGAGCAAGCCCCCAGCACCCAGAGGGAGGTCACACAGACCGGGCACCCTGGGATGGGGGCCACCTGACCAGCCACATGCCCATGCATCTGAGATGCCACCACCTTCCCTCAGAGGTAGTTTCAGGTGACAAGGAAAGCTGGGGGTGCCCAGGACGGGCAGGCAGGGACACACTGGCTCCCACGTCTCATCACACGGGAGCGCTAGGGCCAGAAACCAGCTTCAATGCTTCCTGCTCCTATGGGTAGCCTTGTCTTCTCAGCCCTGGCATGTGACAGCCACAGGGGACTCGGGGAGCTTCCCAGCCCAAGAGGGACCCTGGGCGAGGCAGAGATTCTGCCTTGTGTTGACCCCTTCCCTGCCCCCATCCAGACAGCCCAGAACTTTGTAACCCCAAGCAGTGTCCCTGGAACCCACACTGCCCAAGCACAGCACCACCTTTACTCAGCCTGCTGCTGCATTCAACTCAGCTGGGCCCAAGGTCTCGGGGAGCCCCCACCCCAGGTGGGCAGGGGAGGAAGCTGGAGGAGCCCCAGCCTGGGACGGCTGTCCCTGTGCCCACAGCCCAGGCTGGGTGCCCACCCAGCACGTTTCTCCTACTTGGGTCTCAGGCTGGACACGGACAGGCCAGACCGAGGACCGGGTCGGTGAGACAAGGAGGCAGCTTCGAGGCACCAGGCCATGCGCAGGGCCTCGGCAACATGGTGGCGGCACTCAGCGCTGTCGTAGGCAGGCTTGCTGAGCCAGGGGGCCTCTGCATCCTTCTGCAGGAAGTAACAGTAGGGCAAGGCGGAGGGGGCCTCCCCGTCGGCCCACCGCGGCCCAGCCCGCTTGTTCCCTAAGACGTGGCGGCCCCGCCGGTCTCTGCGGCCCCTCCGGGCACCCTCGGCCAGGCCAGCTCGCTCTTGCAGGCGCACCTTCCCCGGGGGATGGCCGTCAAACAGGGCCTCGTAGAAGCCCCTCTCGGCTGCATCATACCGGGGCTTCTCCAGCCACACCTCCCGGACCAGTGCCTGCAGGCTGCCCAGCGGGGGCTGGCCATTGACCGGTGGGCTGGGCTGGTGGGCCGGGTTGGGGACGGCCACCTGCTGGCCCGTGTCAGGAGTCCCCTGCCTGCGGCCACCCTCGGGAGCCAGCAACAGGGACTGAGACCACTCCACAAAGGCCCGCTCAGCCTGGTCGAAGGAGGACTTGTTGACCCAGGTCCCCCAGGTCACGTGGTGGCAGGCCACCTGGCTTCCATGGGTGCAGGGACCCCAAGGGGCCAAGGCAGGAGGCTGGGCTGCCTGGGCAACCACATCTGCCAGCTTCTGGCGGTAGGAGCTCTCTGCCTGGTCGAAAAGTGACTTGTCCAGCCACACGCGTTCGGCCGAGAGCCCCAGGAGGGCCGGGGCCGCCGGGCCGAGCCCACTCTTGGGGGAGCGCTTTCTCTTTTTCTGCAGGGGCTTCCTGCTGTCCTGGCTCTTCCTGGGATCACTCCTGCTGCTGCCGTCAGGGGCCTCTGCCTCATCAGTGTCCTCAGGGTCGTCCTGGCCGGGCCCATTCATAGCTGGCCCCTCGGCTGGCAGCTGCTGGGCGGAGGCGGCCGCCTGCATGGCCTCGTGCTCGTAGAAGCGCCGCTCGGCCTCCTCATACTTGTGCTTGTCTTCCCACACGGTCTCCAGGGTGCAGGAGGCCTTCCCGCTCCTCATCTTCCGGACACAGCGATAAAAAGCAAGCAGAGGGCAGAGTTGCAACACTGCGGGTGGCCGTGGCCCCGTGCCCACCCTCCCCATGGCTGCCCTCCCAGGGCAGGGGCTGAGGATGCTCCCCAGTGGGGCTTTCATGAGATGACATTCAAGGACTTGAAAGTCAAGCCCATGTGGGGGATGCTCTGTTGTAAAGAGAAAACAGGCCGGGTGCAGTGGCTCATGCCTGTAATCGCAGCACTTTGGGAGGCCAAGTGCCTCCCAATACATGACCAATACATACCTTTTTAAAGTGAACGTATGGCCCATGAAATATCTGAGACATACTCATACTATAAAATTTTTCATTATTTATCTGAAGTAGGCTTTAACTGGCTAACTGGCTTTCTCTGCATTTTTGCATAGGACAGGCTTGGCCACCCCACTGTGGTGGCTGGTGTTCCCATCCTACAGAATGGCCTCTGTGGCTGTCCTGGCCACACCAGTACCACACCCAGAGCACACTCAAAGGTCTTAGAAAAGAGGGAGCCTCAGCCGGGTGCGGTGGCTCACCCCTGTAATCCCAACACTTTGGGAGGCCTAGGCGGATGGATCACAAGGTCTGGAGATTGAGACCATCCTGGCTAACACGTTGAAACCCTGTCTCTACTAAACACACACACACACAAAACAAACTAGCCGGGCGTGGTGGTGGGAGACTGTAGTCCCAGCTACTCGGAGGCTGAGGCAGGAGAATGGCGTGAAGCCGGGAGGCGGAGCTTGCAGTGAGCAGAGTTCGCCACTGCACTCCAGGAAACTCGTCTCAAAAAAAAAGAAAAAAAAAAAAAAAAAAGAGGGAGCCTCTCTGTGGGCCTGACTGTCCCCCCCGGGAGGGGGCCAGGTGACTGGGCAGAGGGTGGAGTGCCCACTCGTGAAGGGTCACATCAACGGGACTCGCCAGGGAGGATGCTGGTGACCAGTGTGTAGAAAGGAGGGGCCAAGCGCCTGGAGCACTGAGACGGCTCTGGGCTCTCTATCAGCCACCGTGGCCTCCCAACTGGAGTCCATATCTTTGGGTCCATCCAAGCTAAAGGGGCATCATGGGGATCTCACAGTCCCAGGACATCAGGGTCCCTCTCAGGTTGGGTTCTGTGTGATGTAAGAGGGACCATCTTGGTGGGAGGCAGGTTGTGAGGCTCCACCCCCACTTGCTACCCCCAATGAGGCCTGGGAGCCTCAGCCTCCTCCCTGGATGAGGTGCTCCCTCAAGCTCTGGGCAACCTCAGTCATCTGCTGCCCCAGTGCTCCAGCAGTCATGTGGGATCCTGCTGGGGGCATGCTCTGCTCCCAGGTGTCCAGTGTGGTGTTACAGAAAGGACAGACCCAGAAGGCCAGGGGCAAATCTGCTCTTGGGATACAGGTCAGCGCCCCAGCCCGCGCTCGGCCTGCGATATCTTCCTCCCCAGCCATGCCCAACTCCAGGCTCTGCTCCCCAAAAGCAGAAACGCCTGGGTCTAACCAACACCTAGGAGCACCCTCAAGAGGGGGCGTGCAGCCGCCCCTCACGGACACTGCTGCTAGTCAGCTGCCTCCGCAGATGTGTCTAGTGGAGCCTGAAGGCAGACCCAGTGGCCTCAGGGCACGTGGCTGTGACTGGGACCACCTGCCTGGTCTTCACCCAGAGGGAGGCAGCCTTCGGTCAAGAACAGACCCTTCACACCAGTGGCTACGGGTCTACACCCCTCTCCTAACATCCTTACTCAACAAAACCAAGGCAGGTTCCAATGCCTCCAGTGGGGTGCTGAGCTGTCTACACTCCACCCAGGCGGGGAGGACCTTTGGGAAGCCCCCCGCACTGCACTCTGAAGCCTCTTAAGTGGAACATGGAGTTTTTTCCGGGCATGTAGCCAGAAGCCCTCAGTTCCAGCAATGAGTTCTAATGGCACCAACAAGGAACCAGGGCCAGGAGGCCACAGGGCCCATGAAGAAGCCCCTCGGCTCCCCTGCTCACTCCTCCCCCAGGCTGGGGCAGCACTTACCAAGACCAGGCTGATGGGCAGAGGCAGGGGTTGGAGGTTGGGGGTTGGAGGTGGGAGCAAGAGCCCAGGAGACAGGGCATTGTGACATCGTGCGGTAGACCCCTGCCAGTCTCTCTGATCCCACGGAGCAGTGCAGGTCCCATCAGCAGTGCCACTAAGCTGGCCCCCAGTGCCAATGCCCTACCAGACTTTACTGGCCAAGGTGGCCTCAGACTATGTTCTTGGGGGCTCCGGGCAGAAGCTGCCACTCAGCGAGGGGAAGCCACTTCTAAGGCTCCTACCGAGACCTGGCACTGCCACCACTTCCCCACAGGGAGCAGCGTGTCGGGTGCTGACCTGCCAGCCCAGGCCAGGACCCTGCTTAGGGCCACATAGGGTGCCCACCTGCTGCTGCCCCATCCAGAAAACCCAATTCCTCCACTTTACAGATGGGAAACCGCAGCCCCTCTGGGCAGGCTGGGTCATGCACAGGTGGTGTTGGGGTTCCCTTGGGTACAGTGATGGCTGGGGGTTCCCTGGTCAAATGAAGGGGAATGGGGCATGAGGACAGGTGGGTACTTACTTTGCTTTGGCCTCCTAGGACAGCATGAAGGAAAAGCAGCAAGGTTAGAGGCAGACAGAAAGACTAACCGGGTCAGACACAGCAGCAGGGCAGCCCGAGCCGGCAGAAGGCCTTTCCAGAAGCTGCTTGGCGAGGTGGCGTGGAGGTGACATTGATGGAGACGGAAGCTGAGCGCCAGACAGACCCGCCACCACCACAATCCCAGGTGGCAGCTGAGTCCACACGCTCGAGGCGGCATCACTCCGTCATCCCCTGAAAGGGGAGCTCTTGGGATTACTGTTAGCTGGAGCCCAGGCAGGCCCTGGGGGACAAGCAGGGACCACTATCTGAGCCAACCTTTCCCAAATCCACCCACCCTGTCGTCACCTGAGCAAAGCAGCCTGAGACAAGGTAAGCCAACGCCCACAAGCATCCCCTGGAGCTGCCAAGGAGCTCCCCAAGCCCCTCCCCTGCACTGCCCCTGTGTCCGGTCGGCTGAAGGAGCCCAGAAGATGACAAGGACCCTTAAGGGGGAGGCAGCCCAGGGCCCCTCTCAGCAGGAGCCACCATCAAGACAGGGCTGGCACCCAAGGGCCCCAGCACAAGCCGCAAAGGCCTCCCAGACTCACTCTCCCACAGTGTGCACACAAGGACAGGACCTTCACCCTGTTTACTCCTCAGCTGGAGACACTAGATGTCCAGCTCCTAATCTCACAAGAGCCAGCTCATAAACTCTGCAAGCTCTGGGAAGGGTAGCTGGGCACAGCTGAAAGCCCAGCCACCAGCCTGTGTCCTGGGTGGGACTGGGCAGGAGGGGCCACCTCCTACTGCTGAGCAATCCAAGGAGCCCTGGCTGGGATCTGTCTTCCTTCACCAACCGGAGCTCTGGCCCCAGGGCCCTGCCCACCTCTGTGCACCCCACACTGCAGCAGGGAGCACCCTGCTGGGAGGAACCGGGCACCCTGCAGGGGTCAGGTGTAGATGAGGATGCTACGGAGGCAGCTGCCCCATAGGACCAGTAAGAGGGGTCTTGGGTGGGGTTCCCTGCAGAGAGGAAGCCCTCAGGAGACACCACAGCGAGCCATGCTGGAGACCTGGAGGCCAGGCCCATCACCCGGGGAGCTGGCCACTGACAGCGGGCAGACAGCCTCCCAGGACAGCCAGCACAGCTCCCCACACCTCCAAGCCCACCTCCTCATTTCCCCGCTTCCTGTGTTCCCAAGCACGAGAGGACCTGCCGGACGGAACGCACCATCTCTCCTAAGAGATCAAGTCTGAGCTTCAACGCTTGCGCCGACAGGCACGTGCAAGCCTGTCTCCTCCAGCAGGAGAGCCCGGAGTAGACGCAACGACTTTTTCAACTGCATCCCTACACACAGTCAGCCCCTTCGCTCCTGCAGTTTATCCAAGCTCGGGAGGAGCTTGCTAAAGAGAACACAGGGAGACAGCCAGCTGTCAGAGAAGCAGTCTTGGAAACGCCAGAGTCAGGCCCCAGAGGGAAATGGCCCAAGTATCCCTACTCTGCTCCTGGAAGCAGGCCAGGCTCACCACCAAGGCTCTTTCCTGAGGGGCAGACAGTGTCTGCTGAACACCCGAGCCTCTGGCAGCTGCCCAGAGTTTGAGGGTACTGTGGGGTCCTGGCTCTGGAAGGCTCCACCCAGCTAACAGGGCCTGTGACACAGGTGGCACCCAGCAAGACCCAGTGCAGTGCCATGGCTCTCACAGCCTCCCTGTCCCTGTCCTGGGAGCAGCCCCGGCAAGGACGCTCCTACCCAGAAGACTCCAGGTCAGGAGGGCAGGGCCCTGAGGAAGGTGAGGACGTCCTGGAGAGCTGTGGCCATCAAGGTGCTTTGCAGCCTGGAGGTCTCCACACACCTGGGCAAATGGAAGCTTTCTGGGAGGAGCTGGCTCCCAGGCCCTGCCCTCCAAGCCACCCCATCACAGTGGCACACACAGACAGGTTCCCAGATTGTCCAGCCTCCACCGGGAGAAGTCAGGGAGGTGGACAGGGGATGCGCTCCCAGATTGTCCAGCCTCCACCGGGAGAAATCAGGGAGGTGGGCAGGGGATGGGGTCCCAGATTGTCCAGCCTCCACCGGGAGAAGTCAGGGAGGGGGCAGGGGATGGGGTCAGCCACCGGCTCGGCCTGTGCATGCCCACCCCTCCCAGCAGCACCTCTCTCTGGCCCACCTGGCTGGCCGGAGTCTGTGGACTGGCACTGCCTGATACAACTTTCAGTATTTTCAGTGCCCAAAGGGTGCAACGACTAGCCCTTAAAATGAGGCTAGAGCCCCTGAGGAAGTGGGTCTTTAGGCAGAGCCACCGCACAGCAGGGCAGCGCACAGGACAGATCAATGTCTTCCTGCGTGGAGGCCTTTGGTCTTTCTTTTTTTGAGATTGAGTCTCGCTCTGTCATCAGGCTGGAGTGCAGTGGCGCGATCTTGGCTCACTGCAACCTCCAACTCCCCAGTTCAAGTGATTCTCCTGCCTTAGCATCCCAAGTAGCTGGGACTACAGGCACGTGCAACCATGGCCAGCTAATTTTTTTTCATATTTTTAGTAGAGACAGAGATTTACCATGTTTGCCAGGCTGGTCTCGAACTCCTGACGTCAGGTGATCTGCCCACCTTGGCCTCCCAAAGTGCTGAGAATACAGGCATGAGCCATGCGGCTGGCCTAATTTTTGTGTTTTTAGTAGAGATGGGGTTTTACCATGCTGACCAGGATGGTCTCGATCTTCTGACCTCGTGATCTGCCCGCCTTGGCCTCCCAAAGTGCTGGGATCACAGGCATGAGCTACCGCGCCCAGCTGCCTTTGGTCTTTTCAAGAGATAAGAAAAAAAAAAACCTCCACAGCTCCACATTCCCACTCAGCCACTTTCCTGTCTGACCCCTGGATATTCCAGCCCTACTGGGAAACACCAGCCTGCCGTGCATCCCTCAGAGCGCTCACTGTAGCTACCCAAGCCACCCTGCCCCAGGTCAAGCCCCACCCCAACCATGTCTGTTCTGAAAAGCCACTGCAGGTCAGCTCCACGTCCAGCCCTGCTTGCAGGACTCTGGCCGACCCTGCCTGCCCAGTGCAGCCCCCGTGCCTCCTGGGTGGCTCCAGCACTGCACAGGCTTTCTGGAACCCCTGGCAATACAAGACCCACACCACACCTCACACGGCACCCTTGGCTGCCAGCGAGGCGGGAGAGCTGGAGCCCGGTGACAGGCTCCTACACCAGCACTTAGCATAACACACTGCCACCAGCTTCCAACACGCTGCTGTCACCTTACAACACTGGCACAGGATGATGACACACAAATGCTCAATGCCACATTTCCTGTCCCCAGCCCCCAGAAGGCTGATGCCAGTGCACAGCACAGCCCCGATACTCTTTGTCCATCATCAAGCATGTGTGCCTACCTGTGCTAAACCCTGCAGCAGGTTCACCCAGCAACCCAGAAGCAAAGCCCAGAGGGCCTAGTCCTCCAGAGAGGGCGGGAGGCAGCAGGGGCTCTGCTGGCTGGGCGCGCACTCTGCCAGCACTGACCACGTGTGAACTCTGCAGCAGCCCAGGGGAGATGCTGCTGTCTCACAGGATTGGCACTGCGCCCAGAAAGCCTCTACAGGGGCAGGTCTAGGAGCCTGGCTAGGCCGGAGGCATTTGGTGAGAAGGCGAAGGTGAGCGTCCACTTCCTCAGAGGACACTCAGGGGCTCCTTCCACACCTTCCGAGTACATCCCCCACCCCCAGAACACGGCTGGGCACACACAGGGGCTCCGGAAGTAACCAACTGCCTGCGAGCCAGCTGCTTAAGGCTCATGGGGTCCAGATGACAGGACGGTCGGAGCTGTAGAAGGAGGCTGCTCAGGTGAGATGGCCTGGCCTGCCTCCCTGGGAGGTGAGCCACAGGCAGTGTCAACTTAAGAAGCACCCCGCCCTGTCAGGCAAGGACGACCCCAGGTTTAGCTACACAGTTCTTTTGCTGCCAGGAAGTCCTTCATTCTGGAAACCAATCCTGATGTCTCATCAGGTCCCCAACCCACTCCGCCCCCTTTGCCTTCTTCCACTTAAAGCCTCTGAAAGTACTACTACTTAGCAACACCATCCCCGCCCCCTTCAGAGGCTGCCCGACCACCCTATCTCCAAATCAAGAGACATAAATTTTGACTCAGTCACAATACAGGCTTATTCATTTCTGTGTTCACTAGCGTCTAAGTTCCAAGAGTGTTGCGTCCGTGCTTATCCCCTCCGTGCTCAGCTGATGCGTGCAGTAACTGGTGCTTAATAAACACGTGGTGGATGAAGGTCTGCAGGCCAGAGAACAGCTGGGGCAGATGTTTGGTCTCCCACGGAGACGGCAGCAAACACAGGCCTTAGGCCCCAGCAGCCTGGCCGAGGGGCTTCCCACGACCGGGATGCGCCGTGAGCCACTGCTCCCGGCACCCCCGGCCCGCGGACGCCCTCCAGGCCGGCCACGTGGCCTCGGTCGCCCCGCCCCTCTGCGCTCGCCCCAAAAGCCGTACTTGGCCCACGTCCCCTAAGCCGGCGCTGGCGCACTTGCGCCTCAGTCCCTAACGGCGCGAGCTTCTGGTGCAGCCCGGGCCGCCCGCCCTCCCGGCCTCTCGGGCGTCTCTGACGCGCCCGGCTCCTTCCGGCAGGGGCAGCGGTACTCACACGCCAGCCAAGGACGCGGCGACCAGGGAGGAGGAATCGGCGGAAGCGGGATGCCTGAGGAAAGGGAGGGCCGGCCAGGCCGCGCACGGGAAATGAAGCACTGGGCTCTACTAAGAGCCGCGGGCCGGGGGCCCAGGGGGGGACGTGGCCCCTGCACACGCTCCGCCTGGCCGCCGGGGCCCTAGACGCGCTGCGCCCCGACACTTCAAAGGCAGAATTCCGTTGGAGACGACTGTGGAGGCCGCTCTTCAACGGAGGAGTCTGCACAAATGCCGGGAACGGGCGGCTGCGCGCGCGCCCCCCTGCGTCTCGAGGCCAGTGGTGTCGCCGGTGGGGCGGGGCCGGAGGCCGGCACGCGCCGAGTGACGCACGGGGCGGCCAGCGCGCAGGCGCGGGGCGGGGCCGGGCCGGCCTGGGTCAGCGCGCGTGCGCCCGCCAAGCTGCGGGACAAAGGGGAGGGACCCGCGCGGCCCCGCCCCCGAGTGCCCCGCCCCGAGCGGCTGGGCGTGTGGCTCCCGCGACCCGCGGCGCCGGTCTCGCCACCGCCGCCATGTACCCCGCGGGTCCCCCGGCCGGCTCGGTCCCGCACCGCGGCCGCCGTCCCCCGCCCGGGCCCTCTGCGCCCGCCCCGGCCCCCGTCCCCGCTGCACGGCCGCCGCCCCCCGCGCCCGGGCCGCGGCCCCGCGTGGCCGTGAAGATGGCCTTCCGCAAGGCCTACTCCATCAAGGACAAGCTGCAGGCCATCGAGCGCGTCAAGGGCGGCGAGCGGCAGGCCAGTGTGTGCCGCGACTTCGGCGTGCCGGGTGGGACGCTGCGCGGCTGGCTCAAGGACGAGCCCAAGCTGCGCTGGTTCCTGGAGCAGCTGGGCGGCGAGGTGGGCACTCAGCGCAAGAAGATGCGGCTGGCCAACGAGGAGGAGATCGACCGCGCCGTGTACGCCTGGTTCCTGGCACTGCGCCAGCACGGGGTGCCGCTGTCTGGGCCGCTCATCCAGGCGCAGGCCGAGGCCTTCGCGCGCCAGATCTACGGGCCCGAGTGCACCTTCAAGGCCAGCCACGGCTGGTTCTGGCGCTGGCAGAAGCGCCACGGCATCTCCAGCCAGCGCTTCTACGGCGAGGCCGGGCCCCTTGCCCCGGGCCCCGCGCCCGGCCCGCCGGTCAAGGAGGAGCCCACGCTGCCCTCCGGCGCCGGCCCCCTGCCCGACCGCGCCCCGGCCCCGCCGCCCCCCGCCGAGGGCGGCTACGGCGACGAGCAGATCTACAACGCCAACGTCACCGGCCTCTACTGGAAGCTGCTTCCGGAGCAGGCTGCGCCCCCGGGTGCAGGGGACCCTGGAGCAGGGGGCTGCGGCCGGCGATGGCGGGGCGACCGCGTAACGGTGCTGCTGGCCGCCAACCTGACCGGCAGCCACAAGCTGAAGCCGCTGGTCATCGGGCGGCTGCCGGACCCGCCCAGCCTGCGCCACCACAACCAGGACAAGTTCCCGGCCTCCTACCGCTACAGCCCCGACGCCTGGCTCAGCCGCCCGCTGCTGCGGGGCTGGTTCTTTGAGGAATTTGTCCCGGGCGTCAAACGCTACCTGCGCCGAAGCTGCCTGCAGCAGAAGGCCGTGCTGCTGGTGGCCCATCCGCCCTGCCCAAGCCCAGCTGCCAGTATGCCCGCCCTGGAGGACAGCGAGGATGCCCCCGTGCGGTGCAGGCCGGAGCCCCTCGGCCCTCCGGAGGAGCTGCAGACACCGGATGGCGCTGTGCGGGTGCTGTTCCTGTCCAAAGGCAGCAGCCGGGCACACATTCCCGCACCGCTGGAGCAGGGCGTGGTGGCCGCCTTCAAGCAGCTGTACAAGCGCGAGCTGCTACGGTTGGCTGTGTCCTGCGCCAGCGGCTCCCCGCTGGACTTCATGCGCAGCTTCATGCTCAAGGACATGCTCTACCTGGCCGGCCTCTCCTGGGACCTGGTGCAGGCGGGCAGCATTGAGCGCTGCTGGCTGCTGGGCCTGAGGGCCGCCTTCGAGCCCCGACCGGGCGAGGACAGTGCTGGGCAGCCGGCCCAGGCTGAGGAAGCTGCTGAGCACAGCAGGGTGCTCAGCGACCTCACTCACCTGGCAGCTCTGGCCTACAAGTGCCTGGCTCCCGAGGAGGTTGCAGAGTGGCTGCATCTGGACGATGATGGGGGTCCACCCGAGGGCTGCCGGGAGGAGGTGGGCCCAGCCCTGCCCCCTGCAGCCCCTCCGGCCCCAGCCAGCCTGCCTTCTGCCATTGGGGGAGGAGAGGAGGAGGAGGAGGCCACCGAGTACGGAGGGACCTCGGTGCCCACTGCCGGGGAGGCTGTGCGAGGGCTAGAGACAGCTCTGCGGTGGCTGGAGAGCCAGGACCCCAGAGAGGTGGGGCCACTGAGGCTGGTGCAGCTGCGCTCACTCATCAGCATGGCCCGGAGGCTGGGGGGCATCGGGCATACCCCAGCAGGCCCATATGACGGTGTGTGACCAGGCCAGCCCAGTGACCTTTCTCCTGCTGCACTTGGAGGGAGGGGACACAGACAGTCTCCCATCTCCCTTCCCCCGGGGTGGCCCACCCCATGGGTACAGGGGGTTCCAGGAATCCAAGTCCAGCCTGGCTTGGAGGAGCTCTGTTGGTGAGAGGTTGCCCTGCCTCACTGGCACCCCAGTCTCCTGGGGGCCCAGCTGGAAGAGGCCTGGCCCATTCTCCTCTCAGGGCAGGCATGTATGCGGGGCATACAAGGCACAGCACC